ATATTCGCTGTATTAGCAAAGAGATGACTAAGCATTCCGTAATTTTACTTCATTTAATCACTATAAATTGGTTCAATCGATTTTTTTTTTTTTTTGGTAGACCAGTGTAGTTTCTATTCTACAGTGCTTGCTTTAAAACCTAGAAAATGTGTTTTTTTTGTTATGCCTTTTTCTTTTTGAGACAGGGTCTCACTCTGTCACCCAGGCTGAAGTGTAGTGGTGTAGTGGTGTGATCATGGCTCACTGCAGCTTTGACCTCCTGGGCTCAGACGATCCTCCCACCTCAGCTTCCCAAGTAGCTGGGACTACAGGCATGCACCATCACACTCTGCTAGTTTTTAAATTTAGCAGAGATGGGGTCTTGCCGTGTCTCCCAGGCTGGTCTTGAATTCCTAGACTCAAGTGATTCTCCCACCTCAGTCTCCCAAAGTGCTGGGATGACAGGTGTGAGCCACTGTGCCTGGCCCAAACCTGTAAAACAGGTTAAATCTGTTATATTCCTTTCAGAAGAGATGTCTAATATTAACTTGTGTTATACAATATCTAAAACATAGGCTTTCAATTTTTTTTTTAATAGTATATCACAGAATTGGCAAATGCCCTGTCCTACTGTCATTCGAAGAGAGTTATTCATAGAGACATTAAGCCAGAGAACTTACTTCTTGGATCAGCTGGAGAGCTTAAAATTGCAGATTTTGGATGGTCAGTACATGCTCCGTCTTCCAGGTATGTAATTTTAGAGGTGGAGGTTGTTTCGTTTAGCAAATGCCCTGGAGCTAATCATGAGCTAAACAGAATTTATTTCCGTGGAGATTTTGTGTGGTAAGATGGGTAGGTGGCTAACCCAGAGGTACTTCGGAGTAATTTAGGCTTAATAATCAACTAGTGTTTTCAAGAAAATGTTATTCTGTGGCGATTTGGGGCTATTAATAGTGTTCTAGGCCTAGGGTTAAAGATGCTTAATGTCCTTTGAGGCTAATGAAGGGGAGAAATGAGTCAACAGATAGGACAAGTATATGGCAGAGGTGAAGTGCCCACATGTTGAGGGGGGATGTTCCAGAGGACAGCACCGACAAAGATCTAGTGCTTAGAGCGCAGTCCGCATCAGGGAACTTAGAAACCAGATTAGTTGGCGGGGCTTTGAGGGTGGTGGTGAGAGATTCTCTTTGGTCCATCTCTGTCAATAGTAGTGCTAGTCCTTGCTTGTCCCCTCTCACAGCTGAAGCAGAGATGTCAGTCTCAGAACTGTGGAAATCTTAGGGAACTTTCCAAATGAACTACAATATTCTCTACTGTTTTAAATTTGAGTTTAAATAAGCTTTGAAACTTCATGGGAAGTGGGGCACTTTTAAAGCATATATCTACTGATCAAGGTTTGTCAACTTCGGAGGAGGACTCAAATTATAGCCAGATGACTTTTAAAAATAAAGCTGGTTTTAGCCAAAAGAACTCTGGCAAAAAAAGTTAAAAAAATTAAAGCTAGTTTAAAAAGTATAGCCCAAAATAGGTTATATGTGAGGGAGAAAGCCTTTGCTTTTGTTACAAAGCACTTTTAAGCATAAAATTCATTGAATCTGCTGTTTCAGTCTCTCTTTTTTAAAAAGCTGGTTATTAGTGGGAGCTGTTACCTGGTAAGACAAACCAAAATAAAGAATTACAGGCTTCATTGAATCAGAGTTAAACTGGATCTTAACCTGTTGCATTGTGATAGCAAAGACAGCGTATTACTTTCTGAAAAGATCACATAACTGAGAGCCACTTCACTTGAAATCCCAGATACTAATAATCATAATAATTTCCTTGTTATTGCCTAAGTTTGAGAAGCCCAGTTCAGTCCATCAGTGGTAATGGAGGGATTAGATGACCAGAGTGGTAGCTTCTGAATCCGAGGTCACAATTCAGTGGTGAATGACTGTTGATGTGCTCAGTGGGTGCCAGGCGTAAGCATCGATGGTGAAGAGCAGCTGATACAAAGCAACTCAAACCCACGCGGACTGTTCGGGCTTGGTGTCTGCTGTCCCCAGCCTTTTTCTAGCCTTTGTTAGGAAAACCTAAACCGATAGAAATGCCGAATTGGTAGCTGACGGCATACCTGTCTCTCCAGAGCCTATGTTCAGCAGGTGTTCCCATTTTGTCATATTGGCTGCATCTACTTTTTTGGTGAACACTTGAAAATATGTTGCGAACATAAGATGCTTCAACCTTAAGCACTGTAATAGTATGCATTTCCTAACAATAAGGATATTCTCCTATGTAATTAGAACCATGATTACTCCTAAGAAAATCACTCCTAACAGAACTGTTAATATCTAATATTTAGTCCACATTCAATATTTAGTCCTGTTGTCCATGATGTTCTGTAGCTGGTTTGTAAAATCAGAACTTAGTCAAGCTCCATGCGCTGTATTTGAATATCTCTGTGGTCTTAAGCCAGACAGTCTCTTACTTTAAAGTGGACTTTTCTGATTGTGTTGCCATTTCACTTGGACCTTTATTCCCCGTATTTGCTGTAAATTGGAATTCAGGTCTCAGGGCCTGAAGAAATTAATACTTTTGGCAAGAGTATTTCATGGGCCACCGTCAGAATTTCAGCATCTCTCATACCAAAGATCTACCACAAGGCAGCATGTATCTACGTCTCTAACCCCAGTGCAGTTACAATGGGACAGTTTCTAGTGTCTTGTCATTTTGCTCTTAAGAGTCTTAGCTTATTTGTAATATCTATATACAGATATAGAACTCTAAATCATATTTACAGAGAACATTGCATGGCAGCTTTTACGTGGTAGTGATACATTCAGTTTCTTACGTTCTAGATCATTCAGGGAGGTTCTGAAGTGGGACAAATTTGGGATTAAGGTTTTGGTGGCTACCTGTGGGACCTTACTGTTTCCCTAATAGTAGCTACTTCCTAGGACACAAGATCTGGCCCAGGGAAGTGCTCAGTGTTCGTAGAATTAATGATTTTTAGCAGCTATTGTGATCATGAAACCAGAAGCATATCAGCTTGAGCCTTGCTCCGTTTTTAGGAGGACCACTCTCTGTGGCACCCTGGACTACCTGCCCCCCGAAATGATTGAAGGTCGGATGCATGATGAGAAGGTGGATCTCTGGAGCCTTGGAGTTCTTTGCTACGAATTTTTAGTTGGGAAGCCTCCTTTTGAGGCAAACACATACCAAGAGACCTACAGAAGAATATCACGGGTAAGACGTCACTGAAAAGGACCCAGCACTTCTGCTGGAATTCTTTCCTTATCAGCCTGAACTTCAGGCCAAGATCCGAATATCTATACTATTTGATCTCTCTAACCTGCATTTTGTGATACTTTGTCATTTGCTGTACTCCAGGTTGAATTCACATTCCCTGACTTTGTAACAGAGGGAGCCAGGGACTTCATTTCAAGACTGTTGAAACATAATCCCAGCCAGAGGCCAATGCTCAGAGAAGTACTTGAACACCCCTGGATCACAGCAAATTCATCAAAACCATCAAATTGCCAAAACAAAGAATCAACTAGCAAGCAGTCTTAGGAATCGTGCAGGGGGAGAAATCCTTGAGCTCAGGGCTGCTGTACAACCTGTCAGGAACATGCCACTGACATTTATCTTACTGTTGACTGCTGCCCTCAGTTTAGGACGCTACAAGAAATATTTGTTTTACTAAGCAGGTGTGCCTTAACCTCCCTATTCAGAAGGCTCCACATCAATAAACATGACACTCTGAAGTGAAAGTAGCCACAAGAATTGTGCTACTTACACTGGTTTGTAATCTGGAGGGCGAGGTTTGACTGCAGCCGCCCCTCAGCCTGTGCCAGGCATGGTGTCCTCACAGGAGACAAATCCAGAGTCTGGCTGTGGGGAAAGTGACCGCTTTGCCCTGACTCGATCAGTTACAGAGCTGTGCAATAACCTTCCGTGTACCTGAGTGAGTGTTTAACTTATTGGGTTGGCCAAGCCTGGTAAAGCTGTTAGAGTGAGTATGTGATTCTTTATAAGTGTGAAAATAAAGATATTTGTACAGACTTGTGTTTTCTCTCTGGCGGCATTTCCTTAGGAATGCTGTGTGTGTCCAGCACTCCGGAAGGCCTGGTTGGGTTTCTAGTCCTCCTTAACCACTTACCTCCCATATGAGTGTGTTTAAAATAGGAACACGTGCTCTACCTCCATTTAGGAACTTGCCTGGGATACAGAAGAGGCCATGTGTCTCAGAGTTGTTAAGGGCTTATTTTTTAAAAAACCATTGGAGTTTTTAAATGGCATGTGTGGAAACTTTATGCAAATAAATACCTATGTCTGTGTGGAGTACTGTGTAATTCTTGCCATCACCTGTTTGTTGTTGGCCTGGAAATGAGCAGGTGCTGAGAGGAGCAGGCCTCGCTGCCCTCTTGTGGTCTCTCCCTGTTGGGTGTACTACTAATACTTCATTATATATATTGTTTACGTATTTGTTATGTATTGTCATCTGTCCATTGACTAAAGATATGGTGCACGTGATCGTGATGAGGGAATGGTGGAAGTGTTGGAACTTGGAGCTAGTAGAGAAAATCTGCTTGTATGGCCAATGCTCTGTGCAGGAAACTAGACAGCAGGTATGTTAGGATATATCATAATGAAGTGGCTGAGATAGAGAACCTTAAAAACACAACTGAGTAAGACTGCAGTTGCCAGCCCCCTTGGGACAAAGGAGCTTCTGGTTCTGTCTTGAGCTGAGCTGACTTTGACATTCCCAAATACTTTGTGTGCCACCCTCCCAAAGTATAGTTACTATCACGTGACCAACTTCCCCCGTGATACCAGTGAAACTTGAGACGTTTCCCCAGACAATCCCACATGGGCAAAGAAAAAGTTCATTGTAGTAGTGCATTAATACCCTGGTCACAGTGCCACTTCATCAGCAGCCATGGCTTACCAGAAGGAGAATAAAAAAGTTCATAAGCTGTAAAGATGTTTCACAGAATTTAAGCTGCTCACTTTGTCAGATAAATTGGAGAAACAATGGCTTGCATTTTAAAAATAGATCCGTTTTATTCTGCTAGTTCTGTAAAAACAATGTAAACACAAGCGTTCTGTACATCTTGCTGGTGAAATCACAGAATGCTTAGTTCCGTGATCCTTGGACCTCTTCGTCTTCAGTTATTTTTTGTTGGGACCACTGGCCACAGGAGTGGAGAGAGAGCTATGTGGCTTTTTGGTATGACTCGTTTTATTGCTTGCCCTTTCAGCACACTCCCGTTACTCTTAACACAAAATTTGAGATTTAAGCCCTTAAACCTGCAGGAATCACTGTCAGCTTTTTTTTTTTTTTTTTTTTTTTTTTTTTTTTTTTTGCATAAGGCATTACTAGGGACATGAATGGGAGCCTGGTAAAGAAAGTGGTGAGGAGCCAAAGCCAACAAACTGCTTTAAACACAAGATGAAAACGCTCTGTTCCGGCCACACAGAAAATCACCCAATACTGGTATGAGGCATCTCGGCTGTAGGGAAGTCCTTGGAATCAGATCTTAGTTCCAGCTTTATGTCAGTAAAACCTTTTGGTAATGGGCTAATTGCCTTAAAGGAAAAAAGAAAAAGGTTCTACTTTAAAGACCTTGCAAGTGGAGAACTTGTCCTACAAAGATTCTTCGAAATGTTAACAGATACCTGGCGTGGGTAACTGTGGGCCAGCCAGGAACTGTTAACAGCCCGATAGCAAAACCAGGACGGCCAGTTCATAGTTCCTTCAGTTCTCTGAGGCTCACAAATGTAACTTTATTTAGCCTTGTGGAGGTTCTGCAACAATTGTAGTTTTAAAGGAATGGGGATTCAGAAAGATAAATGCAACTCCTTCAACTCTGTAACAGCAGACTGGTTAATCTGGGTTCCCAGAGTGTGGAGCAAGAGCCCTGCGTCAGAGAACAGCCTAGGGGAAACTTGCATGATGTTGAACCCCAAAGGACAGAATTACTTCAGTCACCTGTTCCTGACTGCTATAAGGAGGAAGTAACAGTGCTTCAGTTAGCATCTGCACTTGGATTTCTTTTTTTTTTTTTTTTGGAGTCACCTGTTCCTGACTGCTATGAGGAGGAAGTATCAGTGCTTCAGTTAGCATCTGCACTTGGATTTCTTTTTTTTTTTTTTTTGGAGTCACCTGTTCCTGACTGCTATAAGGAGGAAGTATCAGTGCTTCAGTTAGCATCTGCACTTGGATTTTTTTTTTTTTTTTTTTTTTTGGGAGATGGCGTCTCCTTCTGTCACCCATGCTGGAGTGCAGTGGTGTGATCTCGGCTCACTGCAACCTCCACCTCTTGGGTTCAAGCAATTCTCCTGCCTCAGCCTCCCCAGCAGCTGGGAATACAGGCATGTGCCACCACGCCCAGCTAATTTTTGAATTTATTGTAGAGACAGGGTTTCATCAGGTTGGCCAGGCTGGTCTCGAACTTCTGGCCTCAAGTGATCTGCCCGCCACGGCCTCCCCAAGTGCTGGGATTACAGGTGTAAGCCACTGCACCTGGCCTCTATGCTTCAATTTGTACTCTTAGCTACTCTAACACACATGCCCTTCATCGGGTAAAACTGGCTCGGTAGACTAATTACACCTGCTCATGTAATACAAGCCCCTCCCTGGCTTGTATTAGCTCATAGTTGCCTTCCATTTGTGACAAGTGCTACTAATTTTCCTTTTTAGGAAGTGATACAAAATCCTTTTTTTCTGGAACAGGATTTTTCACTCAAAATAATGAGAGTGTAAACATGACAGTTCTGGAATGTCTGAAGTTTGAGATAAAGATTGTCTAAGAAAAGCTAAGATTGTCTTAGCTGTTTATGTGTGCTATCCAAATTCCTCTGGAATATGGGCAACAGGAGCCAAGTGATGCCACTGCTACTTGGCATCTGGGCAGAGTTTTCATATTTTACCTAAACAGAGGCAAATGACGCTGACCTGCTTTAATGAAATTTCAGAAAAACCATCTGGGATCAGCCCCATCATATCCGGCTTGGAAGGTGTTTGGGGATGAATGAAACATACCAGAAATACTTTTCTTTCCCCAAAACAAATGTAATGAATGTCAAAGTGTTGATGCTGATTTAGACTGTGATTACATAGTAAGTCTTGCTTCATTACTTGAAGCACTGGCAGTTGTTCTGCAGAACGCTGCATATTAAACTGTAAGCAGCTGATAACAAATATCAGCGGAAGGGAATATTTAAAAGCCAGTTAAATTAATCATTGCTTTTTACAAACCTGAGCCAAGATGAACCCCCTGGAGCTTTTACAGACAGACCCTCACCAAAATCTTCCAGAAGGAACATTTGTAGGTTATTTTGTTTTGAGATGTTAACCCATCTGTGATGTCTTGCTGACATTTTAGATTACATATACAAGCCCTATAATGAATTGCGTTCACAAAATTTATGAAGCAAAAAAATTAAAATTCTTCAAAAGCCTGATTTTTGCTGGCAAAGTTTATCCATGAGAACATAGCAATTAACCCCCTACCCCTCCGAAAGAAACCCTACAACCCTAAAAGCAATCCAAATTGTGTAATTAAGAAGAAAGAGGTTTTCAGTGCCTAGGACTGAAGAGTTCATTAAGGTTTTGCAGCTGGAGGTTTAAAAAATCCCACTTTTCGAAAATATCTGACAATCAAGGGCACAGAGACTAACGTAATGCTGATTCTCACTGGCGCAAACAGCTTGTGGATCGCATAGGCCACCACGAAGGTGCTTGTGCCTGCTGCCATTTTTGACTGTACCAGGGACTCTTCAAATCCGAGTTTCAGCAGGACTGCAGACATGTCCATACCACTGCGGGGGAAGAGGCAAAGAAAATAATGATTACAGCAAGCGATTAAATGAAGAAACGGATTTGGCTATAAGATTTACAGTATTTAAAAAAATGTGACGATGTAGCTGAATGAATAAAGTCTTAATGGCCACGTGCAGTGGCTCACACCTGTAATCCTAGCACTTTGGGAGGCTGAGGTGGGAGGATCTCTTGAGCTCAGGAGTTCAAGACTAGCCTGGGCAACACAGCAAGACCCTTGTCTCAATTAAAGAAAATCATAAAATCAGCTGGATGCAGCGGTGCACGCCTGTAGTCTCAGCTACTCGGTAGGCTGAGGTGGGTGGATCACTTGAACCCAGGGAGGTTGGGACTTCAGTGAGGCGTGATTGTGCCATTGCATTCCAGCCTGGATAGCAGAGTGAGACCCTGTTTAAAAAAAAATGGCTTAGCCAACAAGTTCTTATTTACATAAAATCCTACAGGACAGTAAAAAATATTAATCACTGTCCAAGATCTTACCTTGACACAATCATGTAAAATATGCCCAAGGAGACTAATGAGATTCCGATGTGCAACGACACACCAACAGTGCCATATTCTTGAAAAATCTTTTTCAGCTGCTGTGACTTGCTTAGCTTTCTCTCCTCTGTGCAGCTGACGCTGCTGCCTGTGGTCTCCGTGGGCTGGCTGAGGTCCTGTGTACAAACCAGAGAAGAGGAGGTGCATTAGGGCAGGCACGGGTAGTCGTTACCAGCTTTTATACACACAAGCAATGTTCTACTCTGTTCTGCTTGATGAGATCTGCTACCCCTTTCTTACCCAGTGAGCCGAGTTTGAGCCAACTTTAGTCACCAAGTGCAATGCAAGCCTGGAACTAAGTATGGCTGGCAGAATGATGGCTCCAAAGAGGCCCTCATCTCAGGATCTGTGAATATGTCACCTTACATGGCAGAAGGCCTTTGGAGATGTGATTAAGGGTCTTGAGACAGGGAGATGAGCTCAGATTACCTGGGCTACGTTATTACCAATGCAATTATCTCAAGGGTCCTTAGAAGTGAAAAGAGGGAGGCAGGAGACTCAGTGTCGGGGAGGGAATGTGAGGATGGAATCATGGCGAGGGATCTGAAGATGTGGTGCCGCTGGCTTATGGAGGCAAAGGCCATGAGCCAAGGAATGCAGGCAGCTTCAAGCTGGAAAAGGCAGGAAATAGATTTGAGCCTTCAGAAGGACCCAGCTCTGCTGAGACCTTGACTTTAGTGCATTAAGACCCATTTTGGATTTCTGACCTCCTGAACCGTAAGATAATAAATGTGTCTCGTTTTAAGCCACCAGGTACGTGGTCATCTGTTGCAGCAGCAATAGTAACTAAAACGCTAGGGCTCACACGCGTGGGGACAATGATCCTTTATCAAGCATTTTCTCTGAGCTAGGCAGTCCTCTGATGCTTTCTCCTTCCATCCTCACACCAACCTTCAGAGGGAGACACTACTGCCTTTTCCCACTCTACAAAGGAGCAACACAGCCTTGGTGAGGTGAGGTCACTGGCCTGAAGTCACCAAGATCAGAGCCCAGGCCATCCAAGTCCACAGCCTGAGCATGTGACAACCAAGGTATACGCCACTGAAAAGGGACAGTGCACACAAAATTAATGCAGCAAAAGCTAGGGCAGATTTACTCCTAAAATGACGATTTATACCTGACATCCGAGACAGACAAAGGGAGGGGAATTCTTACACAGTACACTACCAGGACTTCTACAGAAATCAGGGATTGTACAGGGCATCTGTGAACAGTTACTGAGCACCTACCAAGCCTGGAATGTGTGGGAGAAACAAAAATACCAATGACACCTAGATTACGGGAGGAAAACACACCCTTCTCAGTAAGAGAGCACTTTCATCAAAAGACCAATAAGGACAGTCCTGGGGCTCATTCTGGCAGGTGACAAGCACTTGGCTCTGAGTCAGCTCTTGGTATGGACTCTGCAGCTGGCCCACTTTTACCCTGTTATTTTTAGAGGCATAAGATTTCTTAGAACATTTGAGGAAAACCCTCAGTGTTCTCATGATAGGACCCTTCTGCTGAGCTAGGAGCTGAGCTTACACCTCAAAGGCATCATTTCATAAATCCCTCCAGCCTCATGACCCAGGAGCATTTGTCGCTCGTGTTTGACAGATGGATGACGGAGGCTCAGCAGGGAGGGATAGCTGCCTGGCAGCATGGACTGGTGACTGGGCTGGTCACCACAAGGCCTCAGCCTCTGTGGTATCCAGCAGGCTCCCTTTTCCTGTCCTGCAAGAATGACCATTCTCCAAGGAAGACATTTTCCCAGAACGTCCAGGTTCTGGAGGGGAGGAGGGAAGAAGTCAACAGCCTCCCTTTCACTGGCCAGCACATGTGACCTCCCGTTTCCCTGAAGCCTTCTGACTAGTCCTGCCACCCCCGGCAAGGATGGCTGTGTGGAGAGCATAGGTTCGCCCTGATAAACAAGCCCCCGCCCACCTCCAGCTGCTGACGAAGGCTGCGGATGGGGGAGTAGCCAGGCGGTGAGGACTGATAGGAGGCTACCGACAGCCCCTTGCAGGGCCAAACACGCATGCCCTTGACACCTGGCCCCACTCTGTCCATTCACTGGACCAAGCACAGCTGTCTCTGAGAGGTCTTTATTTTGGCAAAAGGCCTTTTGGCCAAAAAACAAAAATAAAAAGACAGCCAGAATTCCAGCTATAGAATGAACAGCATCTACTGCCAGACTGTGATAGGGATGAAACATTCAGACTCAGGGAAAATCTTCGGTTAGCTGGCACCATGGTTCGTTTCTGACATTCTAGAGAACACCCAGTTACTGGACAATTTTCTTCCTTTGGTTTTGGTAAAAACACCCATTTTAAGCACTGTGAGCCATGCATTTCTCTTCCTAACCCTTGGGGAGACTAAGGAAGCTAAAATAAAAGAATTTATGACATAAGCAAGCAATGGAAAACTTTTAAACATTCGTTTCCTCGTGAAACATTGCCTTAAGTACCCACGATGTGTTAGGCACTGCCCTGAGTGCACAGGACGATGTTACCCATTCTCTGTCTGTACTCAACATGTGTTCATATGTGTGTGCATGTGTGTGTGTGAGTGTGTGTGTGTGCGAGATGCCCCTTCTGCCTTTCCCCCACACTTTTTAAAGTACAAAAACCTGTAAGAGAAGGGGCAGTAAGGTTTAAAGAATTAGCCAAAGACCCTGCCAAGTAGATCACAGTGTCTGGAGTGACACCTGTTTGCTTTAACCTGATAAATCATATTAATAATAAACACTATACTATGTATACTTTGTACCAGGCACTGTTCTTAGTATTTTGAAACTATTGGCTGGGCATGGTGGCTCATGCTTGTAATCTTAACACCTTGAGAAGCTGAGGCAGGAAGACTGCTTGAGGCTGAGTTCAAGACCAACCTGGCCAACATATCTTTTATTTTATTATTTTATATTTTTGAGACGGAGTCTTGCTCTGTTGCCCAGGCCGGAGTACAGTGGTATGATCTTGGCTCACTTCAACCTCAGCTTCCTGGGTTCAAGTGATTCTCCTGCCTCAGCCTCCCAAGTAGTTGGGACTATAGGCATGTGCTACCATGCCCGGTTCATTTTTGTATTTTTAGTAGAGATGGGGTTTCATTATGTTGGCCAGGCTGGTCTCCAGCTCCTGACCTCAGGTGATCCACCCTACTTGGCCTCCCAAAGTGCTGGGATTACAGGCATGAGCCACCGCCCCAAGCCGTGTCTCTAATTTTAAAACAAGGAAATATTAATGCATATAATCTTCACAACAACTTTGTACTACTGTCAACCCCACTTAATAGAAGAGGATTTGAGAAGCCTAGAGAGGTTGAGTAGTTTATCAAGGATCATACAGGGATTATCGTCAGAGCAAGGATCCCAACCTACTGAGTCTCGGTCCAAGGCCTGTGCTCTGAACAACTATGCTATGTCACTCCTCTCGTATTCACGAGTGTCTCCCTTGCGGCAGGCACTGTTCTAAGCGTAGGGGACAGGGCAATGGACAAAACTGACAAAACCCCACCCTCAATGAGCTTACGGTCTTGTGGGAAGGCAGGGACAATAAACAGAAAAGTAAAATACCAGGGCTCCTACTTGTGACAAGTGCCATAGAGAAACACCAACCAGGGCGGGGAGACAGGACGACCAGTGGGAGGAATGTTGCAAGTTTAAATACGGCCATCAGGGAAGGTCTCCCTGAAAGTGGCACTGGAACCAGAACTGATGGAGACAAAAGGTCACGGGGGCTCTGGGAGAGCAAGTCATTTGCCTGGGCTCCCCTATCCCCCTGGAAAGGGTAACGCACAGGCAGACGGGGCTGCTAAGTGGTTTACAGGACATGGAATCACATCAAGACAAAAAGGCGGGTCTCTTCTGTGGCTTTCCCTGCCCCTCTCACAGAGACCCCTTGCCAAGGCTGAGCTGGGTGGGCCTCTTCGGCTCTCAATGAAACACCTGGCAAATTTGGAGATCCCAGCTGGGCAGCACACTCCTACCTCCCAACCAGGGCAGCCAGAAGAGCCTCGTGTTGAGAGACCCTCCCTGCACCTGCTCGCAGGCCTTGCTGGGGACGCATTTTTTCAGGCAGATGAGTTCTCTTTTGTCCTAACCTTCTTTGAGGTTCTGATCCCACTTGGATTTTGCCAATCTTACCTTACTGCAGAAGAAACAAGGACAGCTCACCGGACCCTGGGGCCTTGGGACCGTATATATTTACTGCAATTATAACCATTTCTAACCTTAATTTAGGACACACCAGATGCCAGGCATGAACATACCTCATTTTACATTCATACTCTATGACATCTGAATTATTACCGTCCCATTTTACAGATGAGGGAACTGAGATTGAAGAGAATTTGATCAAGGCCACACAACAAGTAAGTAGAGAGAGGAATCCAGGGAGTCTGAGACCAACTCTTTGCCACTGTATACACACACACTGCTCCAGAGGCAGGGCCTGAGCGGGGAACAAGGTCAGTGTGGCTGACAGACAGACAAGCGGGACAAGACGCCATTCCAGATAAGTGCACAAAAGACCCACAGCCATGGTGCACGGGGCCAGTGGAGGCATCCCAGCTGGTTAGAAAGGACTTCTTGGAGGAAGGAACGGCTGGGCCGGGCCCTGAAGAATCACCAGGAGGTGGCACGGTGTGTGCAGAAGGTGCCACTCTGGAGAGGATCCCCACGACCTATATGCCACCTTGTGGGACTGCAGAAGGCGAGGAAGGAAGCTGATCTGCGCAGAAGGCAGGGTAAGGGCCTGGGTTCAATCCCCATCCGCTCCTTGATGAAAAACTAGGGAACTACTAGGAGATGCTCGCTGGGCCTGCGGCCCTGTGCTGAGGCCTGCACCAGCTCATGGGTTCCCTCCCACACTCTTGCTGGAAAGGTGCTATTTTTGGTCCTCTAAAAGGTCAGCAAACAAGCTCACAAGCCTTCAGGGTTCGGTCTGAGGTCACGGGGGGTGAAAGGAAGGCCCCTGTCTGCATCCAGGGGAACAAAGGGGCTCCAGACTGCGAGGCTGGACGCGCTCCCGGCTGGACGCAGGCTCCGCGAGTCCGGACTTGCCATTCCTGGACCGCCAGACTTTACTATTTACTACTGTTTTTATTTAAAGAGACCCACTTAGAAGAAAGTGATAGATTTCTCGAAAGGAAAGCTGGTATGACTGCTCTGAATGGAAACCAGTTTTCCCTTGGCACCCATGGAAGGTGACGGAAATGAGACATAACAAACAGCACTGTGGGTTCCTTGCCCGCGGCTTCCCTGAGGACGCCTGCTCTTCCAGTGAGATAAAAAGGGAGGAGCAGCGAGCGTTGGGAGGTGTTAGAAACACGCCAAGAGCCAGCCAGAAGGCCTGAACCACAACCTCGCAGGCCACGCGAGCAAGTTCGGACCAAGTCCGGGCCCACCTGCAACTCAGTCGGCTGCACCCTGGCCCGGCTGAGGCTCTGCAGACTCGGGGCTCGGCCCAAGACTGCGCGACCTCGGGCAGAGCATCATACCTCCCCGGGCCTCAGTTTCTCCGGCTGTCAACTAGGAGGATCGCTTCTCTTGCTTGTAGGGATTTGGGGTTTCGGGGACCCCGGAAGAGCTTGGTCTCGGGCAGCTGCAAGTGCAAACCCGTCCTTGGCGGAGGCGGCCGGCCCCGGGCGCGGCGCTGCGGACGTCTGGGGACCCGGGGACTGGGGGCGGGGTGCGCTTACCTGGCGGCCGCGGCAGTCCCCGCGCGCCGTGCGGAGCAGCCGGGCGTGGGGCCTGGGCGAGAGCAGGGCCAGGGCCAGTGGGGGCGGCGGGGCGCAGGGGGCGGCGGCGCCCAGGACCCAGGGGGCGTGAGGCCGGACCCGGGCGCCCACCCTGCCCGCCGGGCCCAGCAACGCCAGTAACCCGGCCATGGAGCGCAGCGAGGCGCTGCACCCGCACTGCTGAGCCGGGAGACGGGCGGAGGCCCGGGAAGGTGGGCGGAGCCGGCCCCGCGAGCGCCCTCCTCGGCCCCGCCCCCTAGGGGGGCGCCGCCGCACGCGCGGTGGGCGGGGCTTGAGAGGCGTGTTCACACCCTCTTGGCTCACGCACTAGCTCCGCTCCTCGGGAGCTTTAGTCCCACGCTGGTGGGCGGGGCTGAAGGCGCGCGCCCCGCCTCTTCCCCACTTCACAGGCCCCGCCTCTTTGGTGGTGAGTACAGGTCTTTGCAGGGTCTTGGGCTTGCTGAGGAGTGTAGTTGGCGGGTTGCTTTATTCTGCGGGCACAAAGGTGGGCATAGGGCGGTGGCTTATGAGCTTTTCTCCCTGCAGAAATAGGTGAAACCTGAAAAAAGTTGTAGATAGGTTTACGTGTTAGCTCCGAAGAAAATAAATATGAGAATTGACATTAGTACATGTTTAATAAAAAGTCCTCTGAATGACCCTCATACATCGTTGGTGTGAATGTGAATGAAGCTAAAGATGATGTGGCAGTTTCTTAAAAAGTTAAACGTATACCAACTATATAACCCAGCAACTCCACTCCTCAACAGCTTCTCAAGAGAAACAAAGGCTCAATGCTCAAAGACTAACACGTGAAGACACCAATGTTTGTAAAGATCTTATAAATATTAGTGAAAAATTAGGAATGTTCATAAACTGGGACACACTGTGGCGCAACCCTTCAAAGGAGCGCTATTCAGCAATTAAAGGGAACAGACTACAGATACACGCACAACATAAATGAATCTCCAAGCTCTTAATGCCAAGTGAAAAAATCTAGGCACAAAAGTCACACATTGTAGGATTTCAGCTACATGACGTGCCCAGAATAGGCAAAATCATAGAGACCTAAAACAGATCAGTGGTGGTCTAGGGCTGGGAGTGGGAAATGAGATTGACTACCAAGGAGCAGGAGGAATGTCTTGGGTGAGGGAAGGATCCTAAACTTCCAGATTGTGGGGACGGTAGTAGCTGTGTAACTAAAACTTGTGGGACTGTACGTTTAAATTGGATGAATTTTATGCTATGTAAATTATACTTCAATAAAGATGTCCTGGCTGGGCAGAGTGGCTCATGCCCATAATCCAAGCATGACGAGAAGCTGAGGTGGGAGGATTACTTGAGCTCAGGAGTTCCAGACCAGCTTGAGCAACATAGCGAGGCCCTGTCACTACAAAAGTAAAAATAAAAATAAATTAGCTGGGTGTGGTGGCACACACCTGTAGTCCTAACCACTCGGGAGGCTGAGGCAGGATTGCTTGAGCCCAGGAGGTCCAAGTTGCAGAGAGCCACGATAGTGCTACTGCACTCTAGCCTGGGCGACAGAGTGAGACCCTGTCTCTCTAGAAAAAGAGAAACATATTTTACAAAAGATGTGATATTCTGTTAAGTCAACTGCAATTCAACCAAGCTGTTACATAGGCACAGAAATGATACTGAACATATGTGAATTTAAAAATGTTTATTACATAAGATGGAATTATAGCTGTGAAAGTAAGAGGCTTTGTTGGAGGGAGGTCCTAACATGCCCCTGGATGGGAGTCCTTCTGTTTAAGTGCCTGCAAGAAGCTGTGGAAGAGTGGGTAAGGGTGCAGGGTGTCTGTCAGATCGGCTCTGTCAGTCTGGCTGTATGATCTGGAACTGGTGAATCAACCTCTCTGAGCCCCAATCTTTTCATGTGTAAAATGATGATAAATGGGATTGTTGGGATAATTCTTTGGCAAAGTCCTTGGAAAGGTGCATTGAGAGGCCACACACGTTAGCTGTGACGTTGTAGAGGAGCCTTGCCTGAAGCCCTTCTGTCACTCGTTCGCAGTGCTCCTCCAGGTGTGACCTGGTCTCGAGTTCCTCACGGTTCCCACGATTTTCTTGTCACCAGGTCTTTTCCGTTCATTTAAGTTTCCTGCCTGGGCTTTATGGGCAATTGAGTTTGTGATTCTTGCTATACGCTCATTAGAGAAGAGAAAAAGATATTTTTGTTTTTCCCTTTACATTTGACAGTAAATATAATACCGTAATTACAGACTTTAGGTGTCTTTTTTTCATCTTCTAAAAGCGATGAAGAAACTTTTCCTCTTAACAAAATGTACTGTCGCTGCTACCTGCCTGAACTTGTGACAGTTTTTTTTTCTATTGTGTCAAGCTTTCTTTGTCTCTCTAGAGCAGCAGCTCATGCCTGAGCTATAATTATTTTAATTTATTCATTTTGTGAATAGATCACGTATTCTCATGGTCTGGATTTTTAAAGGTACAAGAAATCTACTCAGTGACAAGTTTTCTTCCTATCTCAAAGACCAGTTCGTCCCATTTTATCTCCCTAGAGGCAAACACTATTCCCTGTTCCTTGCTCATATCCTTCTAGCGAATTTTACATGTGTGCAGATAAATCCCTACAAACGGTTTCTGTCACTATTTTTACCCAAGTGAGGCATGGTATAGACAAGTGTTCCTCACCTTGACTTTTTTGCTTCAAATGTATTTTGGAGTTTTCCGAATCTGTACACAAAATTTTTCCTTATTCTTAAAAAAAATCTGCTGGGCATTCCAGTGTATTCCGGGGTGCTGTAATGCATTTAACCAGTCCCGTGTGGGTGGAACAATTAGGGTATTTAGAATATTTTTCAGTCATGTGATCAGAAACCATGCTGCAGTGAACCAGTGGGTACGTCATTTGCCGTGTTTATGTATGCCTGTGTAATAAAGTCCTCAAAGTGAAATTGCTTAGTGAGAAGATATGTGTATTTGTAAATCTGAAGAAACGGCAAAATTTTACTCCGTAAAGTTTGCAGAGTACAGCAAATGAGAGTGTCTCTTTTTGATTTTTGAGATGGAATCTTTCTCTGTCACCCAGGCTGGAGTGCAGCGGTGTGATCTCAGCTCACTGCAGCCTCTGTCTCCCAAGCTCAAGTGATCCTCCTGCCTCAGCCTCCTGAGTAGCTGGAACCACAGGAGTGCATCACCATGCCCGGCTACTTTTTGTATTTTTTGTAGAGACAGGGTTTCGCCATGTTGGCCAGCCTGGTCTCAAACTCTTGGCCTCAGATGATCCACCTGCCTCAACCTCCCAAAGTGCTGGGATTAGAGGCATGAGCCACCACACCCGGCCATGAGTGTCTATTTACCCAGACTCTCAGATGGTGTTTTTGGCAGAGAAACGTAGGACTGAATTCTATGTTCTTAACTTGAGAATCTGACAGCATTAAAGGCAACCATCTAAGGCCAGGTGCAGTGGCTCACACCTGTAAACCCAGCACTTTGGGAGGCTGAGGCAGGCTGATTACCTGAGGTCAGGAGTTCGAGACCAGCCAGGCCAACATGATGAAACCCTGTCTCTACTAAAAATTCAAAAATTAGCTGGGCATGGTGGTGCATGCTTATAGTCCCAGCTACTCGGGAGGCTCAGGCAGGAGGACTGCTTGAATCTGGGAGGTGGAGGTTGCAGTGAGCCAAGATTGTACCACTGCACTCCAGCCTGAATGACAGAGAGAGACTCCATCTCAAATAAATAAATAAATAAATAAATAAATAAATAAATAAATAAGGCGGCCATTTAAATAATATTGCATTGTATTAGTTTTCTATGCTGCTGCAGCAAAAAAAGTTCACCCCAAACTTAGCGCTTAAAACAACATGCGTTAATTATATCACAGTTACTGTAAGAGACTGGAGGCATGGCCTCACTGGGTCCTCTGCCTGGGATCTCACTAGGCTGGCTGTGACTGTGGTCTCATTGGAGGCTTGACTGGGGAAAGGTCCACACCCAAGCTCCTGCAGGTTGCTGATGTGTTTACAAAACCAAGGGCTCTGGGTTCTTACTGATTGTCAGCTACAGTCCCTGGAGGTCCCAAGCTGCCTGCAGTTCCCTGGCTCCCTTATAGGTCTTTCACAAAATAGCTGTTTGCTTCTTCAAGGCCAACCGGAGTTATCTCTCTCTCTCTCATTTTTCTCTTTCTCTCTCTCCCTTTCCAGTCTGCCAAGACAGAGTGTTATGTAACACAGTGTAACCATGGGAGTAACATCCCATAATTTTTGCCATATTCAGCTGGCTTGAAACAAGTCGCAGTTTCTGCCTGACCTCAAAGGGTGGGAATTATGCAAAGCACAACCCTCAAGGAGGTGATGCAAAGGAGGCCGGTCTCTGGTGTATCACAACAGGAGAGTCAAGTTCTTACATCGGAATACTTACGAAGTGGGAGTGTGTTACTGAAAGAAGGAAGTGGAGGGAGGTCATATTTCAAATAGCTTGTGTGCCTGGGCAACTGTTGATAAAATAAAGTGGCAGTTCTGCCTTAGAACAGACAGAATTCAGTGACTTGAGACAAAAAGTACTTATTCTCGTTTATTTTCTTTTGTTTTTTGTTTTGTTTGTTTTTTGAGACAGAGTCTCATTTTGTTGCCCAGGCTGGACTGCAATGGTGCGATCTCAGCTCACCACAACCTCTACCTCCCAGGTTCAAGCGATTCTCCTCCCTCAGCCTCCGGAGTAGCTGGAACTACAGGTGCGTGCCACCACGCCTGGCTAATTTGTATTTTTAGTAGAGATGAGGTTTCACTGTGTTAGCCAGGATGGTCTTGATCTCCTGACCTAAGGTGATCCACCCGCCTGGCCTCCCAAAGTGCTGGGATTACAGGCATGAGCCCCTGTGCCCGGCCTGAAGAACTTTATGATGATTCACTTCCACTTAATCAATAGTATGTATTTTTTTCTTGCTTATGATTTTCTTAATAACATTTTCCTTTCTCTTGCTTACCATATCTTAAGAATATGTCATGTAATACATATACAAACTATGTGGTAATCCACTGTGTTCTCCTAGGCTATTACTAGTTATGTTTTCGGGGAATCAAAAGTTAGCTGTGGATTTTCAGGCAAGTTGAGGTCCTTATCCCCCAGCCCACAAAGTCGTTCAAGTGTGAACTGTACTAGTTTAACCCTTCTAACAGTGCCCTGAGGGGACATCATTCTAATTCCCATTTTGCCTATAAATCAAGGGCTCCGAGATTAAGAGAGCAGCCCGCTGAGACCACACCACTGGGGATACCCAGGAGTTGCTCA